TATAAAAGTACTCTTCTTAGATTTGTCAGATATGATCTACCTTTCACAAACGCATGATCAGTGCATATGAATCTGGATACTCAGTTATTCTCTCCCCATTGTTAGATTCTAGTAAATATCTAACCAATTTCCTAAGTCATTTTTCATACTTCTTAAAAGATCTTATAGAACAGTGGCCTCACTGTGCACACACCTACTTCACGCAAATCATTATACCCCAAAGCCACTAGCTGGCAGCAGCCATTGACATGACCGGCAGAGCCTTTGAACCTCCTCCTTTGGGTTGGAGCATTTAATCGTGATTTGCAAAATACTGTCAGGTGCTGTCCTTCAGATGAGATTTTAAACCACTGCTTGTCTGCCAGTACTTTTCGAAAAGAGAATGGTGTTTCTCCCGTTGGACTAACTGACAATCCCCCAGATAAAATTCATCATTCATTTCATGGCTGTTTGTGGGACGTTGCTATGCACATATTGGCAATCGTGTTCACTAATAAATAGTCATTACAGTTTACAGTAAAATCCTGTGAAGCACTTTGAGATGTTTCAATGATTTAATAGAGGTTATATCAATTGCAAGGATTATTATATAATGTTGATTTGACTTTTAAAGTTTAGGTGAAATTGCTACCAAATGAACCAAGCTGACAAACAGCTTGCATCCTTGCAGTCTGTAGAAAGCTGAGGTGTTCACCTCATTACTCTGAGCTGTATCCAATCCTAGGTCCCAGAAGTAATAGGTTTGTGAGCTACCTCTCAGCTCTAATGAACCCCCAAATTATATTGTTATACACAATAAATTCACCTTTTTTTGTTTGTTTCTTGATAATTGTATCTGGATATTTCAGGAGGAGGATGTGTTTCTGTTATCCCCCAAAATAGCTTCCAGCCTCAGATTAGAGGTTGTCATGCAGTTTTGCCTGTGTGTATGTACTGCATAAGAGAACACAAAATGCAATACAATTTGCATGTTGAATGCTTTCTCACTTGATCACACAAAGCATGAAACATGATGAGAGTGCTGTTTGGAGCACTACACAAGTTAATTCCATTAGTAGAAGCAGACGAATGCTCCACAGGGCTCCTTGCTCCAGTTGAACATTTAACAGATGGAAACCAAAGGACACATTTCCAAGGTGATTGCAATGTCACAAAGCTTCTTGAAAGTTACATTCTTGTTACAAATTGCCTTTTCAGAAATCTTGCATCTCACTACTATTTTCTGTCAGTTTGGATGAAAATTCACGAAAAGTTTCAAATATTTTCTAATAGTATGTGGAGACATGATTTTCCCATTTTCATCCATGCCTTGTCCTTGCATTAGCAACAAATTCCTTTGGACAGTTTCAGGCCATTGCTCCTTATGGATTTTTCTCATTCAGACTCCTCTTCTATACATTGTTATTTTAAATAGTGCTTAATATACAAATAATAATTCTTGTCTTTGATCTCTATTGTCGAAGTATCTCAAAGGGTCATATATGATTTTATTGTAAAGTGCAGTGACTATGCGTTTGTAGGTTAACGCTCTTGCCAAGTTGAGCACAGCAATGTCCCAGATACAGGCATGAAGTGAATGATCAATTTTATTTGGGGGAATGTTGGCCAGGACAGCGCGAGAAACTCCCTTCTTTTTTTCAAATAGTGCCATAGGATTTTGAATGTCCATCTGAACAGGTAGACGAGAGTTTGGTTTAACATTTCATCAAAAGGATGGTACCTCTGACTACACAGCACCCTGTCCCCCATGTGCACTGCATTGGAGTGTCAGCCTAGACTAGAAGTTCAAAGTCCAAAGTGGGGCTTGAACCCACCTTCTAACTCAGAGATGACACAAAGCTTAGAAACATAGGAATGTGTACCACCACAAAAAAACATTGTGGTGCATCTCAAAACTCTCAACGTAAATATAATCTTTTTAAATGTCCTACACTATTCTGTCTAATATGTTTCCATCAATTTCTCTCTTCACCAAACTGCTATTTAATTCCTTTTGATATTTTTGGCATAATCTGCCTCCACCAATTCCCTGGACTGTCTATTCCACATTTTCTCCACTCTCTGGGAAGTAATTAAATGCCTGATCACCTCTACCTCTTGAGCTTGTGTTTATGTGCCCTTTTATATGGTTTCTAACTGTTAAGCATATTGGTATTCAGTTTATCTCTATTCCTTAGTACCTTCAATACTTCAATATGATCTCCATGAGCCNTTTTTTAATGCAAACTTTTCTAACTTCTGTAGCCTCTCCTTACAACTTAGATGCCTAATTGCAGCTCTCAATCTAGTTACACTTCACTGCCATGATATCCTAATGTAGTATAACACAGCAACCAGATTTACATGCAGTAGTCCAGATACTGTGACTTATTCTGTACAAGTTTTTTTATATTAGTAACTATGATTTATTCTCTTTCCCTCTAGCTGCACACTCCAAGATTTCTTTCTTTACTGCTGTACACTGTGTTATGTTATAAAAGAAATTAGCTGAACATCTGCGGCTTTGAAATATCTTGAGGGCTTTACATAGGAAGCTATCAATGCACATCTAAAGAACATCAAAGTCAACATGGATTTAGAAATCATAGACAATGCCTCAAAGAAGAAGATCTAACTAAACTAGTAGATGAGAGTTATCACATTGATATACATTTCCTGAATTTTCAAAATACAAAAAAGGTGATGAGATTTTTTAAGAAGGATAAAATTCTTGAAATAAATGACAAATTAGAGAGTTGAATTGAAAATGCCAGGCAATAGAAAGTAGAATATGTTAATCATTGGAAAATGTCTTCCAAGTATAATGACTGACAAATTTCTACAAAGGTCTTTCCTGGGTTCCCTGCTATTTACAGAAGATTCCCTGCAGAAAATAGTCTATTTGACATGGCTCTTTTCAGATAATCCAGGTTTCTCTCTTTCAAGAGGAGTGTTTTTTTTAAAATTTGGGCCATGAATTCCACATAATTTTAGATCGCTTTGTGTTAAAATTTTAAATTGTGCAAAATTGTGGAAAGTTCTTAAATTCAGTCTTAATTCTTACTATTGAAAAATATTCCAAATTTATACAGAATTCATATTTCTGCATGACCTTAACCTATGTATATTAAATCCATGTAATCCCCAAACCACGCTGAAGATCAGAAAACTCTAAGGCTTGGGGCAACAGCTGCTAAAAGGCATTACCTGGAGTCTTAGTTATGAACACATGTTTGTACATCCAGGGCTTCCCGCTTCATTCGTTTGCAGAGAGGTAAGCAGCTGCTGCTTAAGCTTCGCACTTCCCATGGTGGAAACATTGCTCAATGAGAAGGGATGTGTGTCCAAGGAAGAGGTGGCAATGCTCTCATGCATTTTATGCTGAGCTGTGCTGCTCACCAGAAAGATCGCACAGAGTTATCCAACTAGTGAGGGCCGTCCACCTGGTGAGGGTTCAAATCCTGTGCTTGTCAGATAGCATATGATCAATGAGTGACTATGCTCCTTGGAGGAGGAGTAAGGTCTCCTGGGAGCTGAACAATTGATCAAAGACAATTTCTGTTCAACTACATTCTTTCCAAAGTCAAGGCAGAATATTTTGGTGCTGGGATTGGAATTGGGCTGAAAAATGCAGTGTGGATTGTGATAACATTTCCACTGACGAAAAGTGTGATCCGAACCATCTTCAGTTATCGAAACATTTGGGAATGTTCATGAACTACTATTGCAGCTGGCTGTGATTTCTGCCTGTCAGACCCACTGACGAAATGACAGCTAACCTCGTGGAGTCTACTTTTATATTTGTCTAAATTTTGTGCTATGTGTTAGGAAAGGATAGTAAAATGATAACAATTGTGAAGTAGGACTAGACTATTGCTACATCTAGCCCAGTGTTTCTCAATGATTGATTTGAGGACTGATACGGAACATCAGTTATACTCGTGGAGTATTTGGTGCAGCGAGACTGAAAGGCCTTTATCACAGGTACACAGCAGATGTTGAAGTGGGAAGTGGGATTCATCCCAGACCTGTTGATAACTTAAAATAACTGATGTATACTTTTTGGTGATGCAATAATTAACACTGTTGATAATCGTCATCTCATGAACCACATTTGTCACCCTGTCTTCCTAAATTGTCAGAATGTACAAGTATAAACTTAAGCCATTGGAGACTTGTTCACTGAAGTTTGCAGCGTGTGATAGTGTCATCTTGTAAGGTGTTAAATTCCTCCTGCCTCTGGGTGCTGCAACTTTGACACTATGTTCTTCCAGTGACCATTATAAGTGCACATTGTCAAAGTTGCTACATCTAGTGGCAAGAGAAATTTCACCGGCTTCCGTCTCCTGGCAGATTTAATGCATTATTGGTAAATGCCATCTGAGCACTAAAGGCAGTTATTTTAAAATCATCCAAATAATTACTGGCCTAGTTTGTATGAGATGGGGGGAAATGTCTGCAGGCTACTCCATTTTCTGTCAGGTGGGTTGATACGAGCTGACAGAGTGTGTGCTCATTTTATGCCTCTAACAGATCACTTCCTGTTAACTCAGTTTGATGAATGGCAGCAGTTCAGAACCAGCCAATATTGTGACAGTATTCCTCCACTAAATAAATTGATTTTGATCCTTATCGAGGATGGGATTTACAGAATTGGAGACTTGTCTACATATGTAAAACAGGTACTCGGGGGAAAGAGTCCGGCTTAGCTTTCTGTTAAACAAAATGCAAAATACTGCAGATGCTGGAAATCTGAAACAAAAACAGAAACCGCTGGGAACACTCAGCAGGTCAGGCACCATCTATGGAGAAAGGAAAGTGAGTCAACATTTTGGGTCCATGACCCTTCGTCTGAAACCCTTTTCAGAAACCCTGTACAAAGGTTGGCCCATCAAAAGGCATAGAACCAGTAGCAAAAATGTGTATCATTTGAATGTTGAAATGCAATAAATTACACCTGTACATCGCCATGTTTGAGACTTTACAGACAACTGTGATAATAATTTTGTATATTTTTGCAGATGAATAATCTAACCCAGGAAGTGTCTAAGTTGGGGAAGGACATGCACAGTGTCGTGCATCTTTTGGAAGGACTTTTGGCAGCACAGAAAACTTCTCCTTTCTGGCCTGTACATGGTACTCATACAATGGACAACTTGAGACCGAGAATGACTTGGATGTCACATCAGCCTTGTTTCCATATGCAAAGGGGAGCGGCCCCTTGCACAATAACAAACCCAGCACCAAGCACAACAGCATCAAGCGTATGGTCCTTAGACCCAGCTGTCCAATACAGTAACTCTCAGGCAATAGGAATGATTTCTCAAAGACTAATGGAGAGTGAGCATTACCACACACACTCCTCTCCAGTTCATTCTCATCATTGCCAGTTCCCGCAGGCTGACCATTTGCCATTTGAAAGATGTGTACCTCCATACCCGGAGAGCACCTTAACCCCTCTTCAGTCCATTTCAGTTACCCTGTCAACTTCAGCAAGTTCATCGCCCGAGACTCCAATCTCACTGGTGGCCCACTGCAAGTCAAAAGAGAGCAGCATCTCAAACCTGGGTCCGGTTGATTCATCGGGCCTTGGGAATTCACCCATTTCCTGGGAACTTGAAGGAATGGCAAGCATCTCTTTGTCAAGCACAACCACATCACCCGTAGACATTGTGACAAGTTCAGTTGATTTAAAGGATGACAACTCCATTAATGTATAATGATGGTGACAAACTGTCACACACGTACACCAAAAGCATGCTCTGAAGCTGTCCATTATAAATATATTATGATTCTATTAGTGCTTTATCCTTCTGCATCTCATTCAAATTGCAGAGGTAACAGTCCTGGAAAGTGACGTGGTGGTGGTGGGGGGGATGGGAGGTGGGATGGGTGGGAAGCTGGAATTTCAGCTTAATTTGAAACAAAGTGGTAAAAAAAATAACCAATGGTATCTCCACTGAAGAAAGTAAAGGGAAACAACTTTCAGAACTGTGTAAGAGTTTTGGACTCCAGTTTATAACTCAGCAACTATTTGATAACATGGAGTAGCTTGCTGGCTCCTTCTGCAAGATCCCCAAGGTGATCAAATACCCCCTGCAGGCACAAGAGAGTTGGAGATCGGGGGCTAAGGGATAGAAACGGCTTTTGTTGCAAGTTAATTCTTGCCTGAAGCAAAGGATTCTTTTAAAAAAATCTCTGCTGAGATATCCCAGATGGATATCAATGGGACGATTTGCCCTGGGTGGTCGCATCTCCTGCTGGTTCATTTGTCAGTTCTGCCAAGGCACAGGGACAATTAGCACTGCATGCTGCCTCCTAGACAATCAGCCAACTACAGCTGGTTCATAGCCGCACATTGTATCATGTAAATCAATTTGTTCAATTATTTATCAAAAAATGACTATTTTTATATATTTGGTATGGAAACTGTATTTAAGTCACATATTTATAAAGAAACCTTTTTTTTGTGACGAAGCTTGCAGTGAAACTGAAATGCATTACTCATACCCTATTTACAATGGTAGCTCAGAAATAACTGAAGATGTTATCAAAGTACTGTAATTAAAATATAGATAGGAAACAGGGGTTAGATACCTAGATTATTTTGCATGCTCTCTACTATGAATGTACCTGCAATGATCAAAATATAACAACTAAAAGAAATAGAAAATGGCATTTATTTATTCGTCCATTCTTCAATAAAAGCAATGTATGGAATGTTAAACACATATATAATTCCAAAAATAGGTGCAGTGATATATAAAAGCTAACTAACTTTAAAAGTATTCCATGTCTTTTGGACTCTTACTATTTAACGAAAGGAACTTGATAACTTTGCATGAGGTCTGACATAGATGGTTTGCATTTATGATTATAATTTTATATATAATTATAAAATAAAAGCACTATCAATGGTCAACATTTGTAATGTTTAAAATATTGACAGCTGAGGAAATACTGCAGTGTATGTTGGAATGCCAATCAGAGGACCTGGAAATGCAATCCTCCAGTTGTATTCATATGCATGTCTCTCTGTGCTGATAGAGCACATCTTCCTTCCTGGATGGAACATTTGGCAAGGAAGCCAATCCCCAGCCCATAATGAAAGATTCTTGTCAATCAGCACAGAGTGCCATTGATAGAGGTTGTGGAGATGTAAAATGTGAATCTAAACAGAAGCCAAACAGAAATGTCCGTAATTAGCACTTATATCATTCAGTGCTCATTATACAACTTTGAAGTTTGAGCAACAGAGTATAATTAATGTCACTTCTTGAAGTGTGTCTAAATTTAACTTAAAGTTTAGAAAGTTAAATACGGTGGAGAGAGGCTGGGAGATATGTACCCGGCTAGTCTTTATCTTTTTCACCTCCTCCTTCTTTTTCCTATGTGCAGTTAATGAGAGATTGAGGAGACACTTAATTAAAGTGCTTTTGTGCAATCTTCTCACAGATGGCTGGACACCGGGGAGTTGACAGGTCTACACAGGGGCAGAGCTTTTCTCTTTTATAAAGGTAGCCATGCAGCCTTCCTGCCAATACAATTATATGATAGATTAGTTTCTTAATGCTTAAGCTCATCAATACTGGGGTGAAAATGCCATATTTCTTAACAGACTTGATGTGGCAATTATTATAATTGACTCAATGCTATTGTCATAACAGATAATTAACACATTGAGTCTGTTATGAAATGTTGCATTTTTCATCCCACTATTTTAGTTCATTTCACGTATTTATTGATATGTGTTTAGATGTAGTTGCTGACACTATAATTAAGAGTTTCTTTTTTCTCTCATGTGAGCTAATTGAGAATTATTTGTTCAATTTTATTCCACAATTTCTCTGATGTTCAGTTATACCTGTCACCCAGCTATCAGTTCCTGCCTTATCCCTAAAGGGCGCTAGAGATGGAATGGTACCCAGTTGAAATTATCACTTTGCCAATGGCAGTATGATAGTGATAGGCATCACAGAAAAGTGTTCTGATACGTCATCATAAATGGTGCTACATGAATGCATGTTGTTGTTGCTGAATGAATAAATAAATGATGCTCTGGGAATTATTCGGTTTACTGTATTTCCTCCTCTTTACTATTTGGTAACAGTTTGGGATATCTATGTATTCACTTAATAAATTATTAAGTCACCTTGCTCCAGCACACCCTATAGTCCCAGGCTTTTTACCACATACTGTATTTGCAGGTCGAAGCAATATGCTTGCACTTGCTGTGGATATCAAGCTCAGTAATGACCAGTTGGTCTTTGTGTGTCAGTTTATCCAGCAATCCCTTCCCCATCTACATTTCGCTCTTTTTGGGGGGAGTGGTGGGGGGGTGAAGGGGTTGGGAGGGGAAAAGATTCTAGGGTGAGTGCGATCAAACTGCAGCCAATAAATCCTTATCAGAATTGTACTACTGTACAGTTGTTCTCCTTGGGAGTATTTCCAGAAAGACCAAACGGTTTCTCTTCACATGGACATCGAGCCATATCTCTGGCAAGACTTAATATTTCAGCTTTGTTCAGTCTCCAGGCTATTGTTTCTCGGAGTGATGATTCTTCATTTTTCTACATCACCTTTATCTAAAAAGCGAAAATTGTGTGTGTTCACTTACAAACTATACTGTCACTACACTTTACAGTAAAATACTGTGAAGCACTTTGCAACATTTTGGCACTGCTTATGGAGGCACTAAATAATAGTAACAATCCTTGTATTTGATATAGTGCCTGATCACATCCTCAAGGTGTCTCAAAACACTTCACAGAATACACGGTAAAGTAAATTGACTGTATATTTTGTGAACGAAATGCGGCAGCCAATTGCACACAGCAGTGTCCCACAAACAGTCGTGGAATGACTGACCAAATTATTATTTTTTTTAACAAAATTTTAAGGAATTATTACCCTTGGAAAAGGGATCTGCTAATCAACTAACAAACGGCTTACTACATACTGTTAGGTAAACAGGCATGTGGAGTAAGGAAACTTGCCTAATGTTTCGCCCTGAAGGGGAATCAAACCTAGGTCCTCTCGCTTGCGAGGCAAGTGCTCCAACCACTAAGCTACACGATTCCACAAATGCCAGGTAAATCAATTGCAAGGTCAGCCTAGGGAAGTTTTGCCTCTGAATCAGAAGTTTGTTGATTCAAGCCCCACATCAGGAATTGGAACCACATAGCCTAAGTTGACAGTCCAATGCGGTGTTGCATTATTGGGGATGCCGTCTTTTAGATGAGACGTTAAACTGAGGACCCGTTTGCCTGTCGAGGTTGACATTAAAAATCCAATGGCACTGTTCGAAAAGAGAAGGGCGTTTCTCCCGGTGTCCTAGCCAACAAATCCTCCAAATAAAAAATAGGTCACTCGCTTTGTGGCTATTTGTGGAACATTGGTGTACGGACTCAGTTCCCAGAGTGTTGGCTGTCATGCTTGCATACAAATGGACAAACACCTCACTTCACTCCTGTGAAGACATCTCAACGACGTGATATGACATTATATCAAAATGCAATTATTCTTATTGAAGTGAGGAAAAGTTTCAAGCGCAGTGATTGAAAAGTATTCAGCGTGGTGTGGTGGCGCCACCAAGTGGTAGGATTTATGTTGTCAGGTTTCATTCCATCACTCCACTGAACCTCAAACATGAGGCTGTGGGGAGTTGCTGAGCTGAGACCACCAGATTTCCCAGAGTGCGGAATGAGAATATGCAAGAAGATGTTTCTGCTCTACAGGCAGAATTAGAGGTATTGTGAGTTATAGAAATGCTGAGTAAGACTATGCGTTTAACTGGGGTGAGAAAGACTGTTGTGACATTGCCCAAGCGCTCTGAGACGCTGTCCGGTGTGGAGGGCGCTAAATAAATCCAAGTTGTTGTTGTTGTTGTTGTTCCCCCACTGATTCAATCAGGGTTTCAGAAGCCCCTGGATTACAACACCCAGCTCTTTCGATTTGGTCATCATGTTTGATCATTGTTGAGGAAAACAAATACGAAAAGTGCCCGTGACAACTGGTAAAGAACATAAGAACATAAGAAATAGGAGTAGAAGTAGTCCATTCAGCCCCTTGAACCTGTCCCACCATTTAATACGATCATGGCTGATCTTCTAACCTAATTCCATTTACCTGCCCTATCCCCATATCCCTTAATCCCTTTAATTTTAAAAATCTATCGATCTCAGTCTTGAATATGTTCAATGACTGAGCATCCACAGCCTTCCACAGTAGAGAATTCCATAAATTCACTACCCTCTGAGTGAAGAAATGTTTTCTCAACTCAATTCTAAAAGGCTGACCTTTAATCCTGAGACTATGACCCCTAGTTTTAGATTCTCCAACCAGAGGAAACAGTCTCACACTATCTACCCTGTCAGACCCTTAAGAATCTTATAGGTTTCTAAAAGATCACTTCTAATTCTTCTATATTCTAGAGAATGCAGGCCTAGTTTACTTAACCTCTTCTCATAGGTCAACCCCCTCATCCCAGGAACCAACTTAGTGAACCTACTTTGCACCCCTCTAAGACAAATTTATCCTTTCTTAGATAAGGAGACAAAAACAATATTCCAGATGCGGTCTCACCAAGGCCCTATACAATTGCAGCAAGGAACGAAGGCAACGGGCACTGTTTTGAGGTCAGAGAGGTAGGGGGGGTGCAGAGGAGGGGAGGGATTTGAAGACAAGGGTGAGGATTTTGAAGTCGATCCTCTCTGGGACAGGCAGCCAGTGCAGTCCGGCAAGGACTGG